GTATGTTCTAATTTATTTGATTAATTATTAAATAATTTTTTATATATAATATAATATTTGATTATAATTATAACTTATAGTTATAATTCTATAAACAAACATTCAAATATATTTTTTTATACAAATAATCAGCAAAGTATGATTTAAGTATAAAACATGTTTCAAAATCTAAACTATTTTGAGTATTTTTAATATATCTTTAAAATATTTTGAATTTTTAATAGAATCAATCTCTATGGTTATAAGACCCAAGCGAATGATTATTTTTTAAGGTGTTGAATCACTGGTTCAATCATTGAATCATTCAAATTAATTATCGCGTTAATAAAAATATATTTTAAATATAAATATTTTAGATAAATTAATCAATAATACGATAAATATTAAAGAAAACACTTTTAATTTTATCAATAACCAACTAGTAAGGCGTGACCATCAGCCTGTCCGTCGTCCGTTAGCAATTAGCGCAATTTGCTTACCAAAAAAGCGACACAATTTTCCTTTACTTTCTTGTCTTCCGTTGGCACTGTAATTTTTTAATTGTACTATAAAATAATGAAACTTATTTTCCCACGAAATGAAGCAAACACACTCCGCTTCGAAGTTTGAACCGACCTCTGCAACCATTCTATTATACTATCAGCCATTTTTCTAATCTAGGTAAGCGTTTTTTTCTCTGTACCTTCCCCTGTCGCTTTTCTTTTTTTTTTTTTTTTAAATTTCTTTTTGGATTCCTTGAGTTATCGAGGATATTCTCTTATTATTTGATTAATTGATGATATTGTTATTTGATCTTTTAATTGCCTTAAAATGGCTTAATTAATATATTGCTGTTTATTATTATTATTATTTTTATTGGTCCTTATTCTATGGTTTTTAATAGATTGAAGTGAATTTCCCCTCATTTAAGTCCTTTTTCTTTTTTATTTGATGAAATTATTTTAGCCTTTTCAGTGTTAGGTTGTTCTTAACTTATTTTTGGCTTTGCTTTTATTATACTATGTTTGGTAATTTAAATTGGAAATTTGCTTAACAACCAAAAGTAAGATGATTAAAGAAGAAAAGTGATTAAACATATGTATATATTTTTTCTTCTCTGTTGTTTGGATTTGAGAGAATTGATCCGCAGAGAATTAAGATCAAATTACAATTAGAAGAAACCTGATCTCCCATTTATCCATGAATTTTCAAGATATACTTACATTTTTTTTTTCAAAAATGTAATGGCTAAAGAGTGTCCAGGATAACTTACACTTATAATATTTCTTCTGTTCCATTCATTTCTCATCAAAATTAGTTAGCCTAACAAGAAAAGTTATTATATTTCTGTCCATTTCACATTTCTTCAGTATACTTTGTTCAATTGACATGTAATAGTAAGAGATTTTAATGGATAAGTACTTCAGTACATCTGTGAGAGAAATGCATTTTAGTTAAATTCTTGTTATGTTGATGCAATGGGGTGCAGTAGTATTCTCTTTTGATCTTGTGTTAATCTATCCTTTGCTTCCCCATGCGGTTGTACAGTGTAATCAGGCTTTGCGACTATGCCATCAGAATCTGATAAGTGGGGATGGGATCATGTTAGCGTGTTTGGTGGGTTTGACAGGGGAAGTGGTACTAAAAGATGGAAGTGCAATCATTGTAATTTGCAATATAATGGAACTTATTCCCGAGTTAGGGCTCACCTTCTTGGATTCTCGGGTGTTGGGGTCAAAGTTGCCCTGCAATAAGTAGGTCTTTAAGAGAAGCATTTCAGATCTTAGAGGAGGAGCGCCTTGCTCGGAAGAAGAAAAGGACTTGTGGAAGTGGGAAGACTGGTAACTGTATACGAACTTTACAACCTAGAAGCACATGGAAAACTATCAGAAAAGAAGATGTGGATGACATTGTAGCTAGATTTTTTATGCAGAAGGATTAAATGTCAGTGTCGTCAACTCTCCTTACTACAATGAAATGGTTAAGGCAATTGCAGCTTTTGGCTCTGTGTATGAACCCCCTTCAGTGGATAAGCTGTCTGACTGCTTTTTAAGTAAAGAGAAACGAAGGATTGAGAAATCTATTGCTTTAGTTAGGGAGTCCTGGCCTCACACAGGTTGCACATTGCTGTGTGTTGGTTGTTTAGGCAGCACACAAGGTTGCTTTCACAATAACATTTTTGTCTCGAGTCCAAGGGGACTCATATTTTTGAGAGCAGTATATATAGATGACAGTGATGAAGCAGCCAATATGTTTACGAGTGCCCTTACTGATGCAATTGTTGAAGTTGGAGCCACAAATGTTCTTCAATTAATCTTACACATAGACCATGCCTGTAAATCAACTGAATCCCTTATCTCATCAAAGTTTCCTCATATATTGTGGTCGCCTTGCACTTCACATTCTGTCCACATGTTGATGGAAGATGTTGCTAAACTGGAGTGGATAAAACCTCTAGTCTTGTGTGCTAAGAGTATTGAGCATTGTATCATGATGAATCACCATGTCTTTCCATACTTTTCCCCTCAAAATCTGAAAGAGAGCTCTGTTCTATTTTCTTCTAAGCTTGCACCTTCATATTGCTTTGTGAAGAGAATTTTTGAGCAAAAGCAGTTACTTCAAGAGGTGGTTGTAAGTGAAGAGTGGAAGCAATGGAAATACGGGATTTCTGAGGAGATTCTAGTTGTTGAAGCTTCAATTTTAGGGGATGAATTCTGGAGCAAGGCTCATATGATGCTGTAGTTGTATGAGCCTTTCATAAAGTTACTAGATATGCTTGATATTGACAAATCTGTGATGAGGGCTATGTATGATTTTTTGTCCAGGCACTTGAAGATGCAAGGAGAAAAGAAATTGATGAAACTGTATTGAATCAGCTGGAAGATCTGATAGAGAACAAATGGGATGTGTTATTTTCCCCTCTTCATGCTGCTGGTTACATACTGAACCCAGTATATTTTGGAAGAGGTCAGGCCAAGGATAGAAGTATAATGCGAGGTTAGAAAACCACTTTAGAAAGGTATGAGTGTGATAGTGCAGCTAGACGGGCCCTTAGAGAGCAGCTAAGCTCCTATTGGAGATTAGAGGGATCCTTTGGAGAAGAAGATGCTCTGGATTGTAGAGACAAAATGGACCCAGTTGCATGGTGGGAAAACTTTGGTTTTGAAACACCTCACTTGCAGACTCTAGCCATTAAGGTCCTCAGTCAAGTTTCAACCATTTCAATGTGCCAAGATATTTGGCAAGATGATAACTTTCTATTTCGAGAAACAGCCAACAAGTTGGGAATGCAGAGAGTGAAAGATCTTGTTTTTGTTCGAAACAACCTTAGACTTCATAGCCAGAGAAGTGGGCGTTCAAGCTCTGCAAATTGCGCAAGACATGAGGATTTAAGTCCTCCATATGGAGTTAAGTGTTGGGATTATGCTCATCTTGACAAAAAAAAAAGTTATTGTAAATATCCATGATGAATTGTGATATATCTTGCTTAACTTTTCAATTGTAGCTGGATTTATTGTAGTTTGGGCCCCATGGCTACTACATATTCTTGTGGAAGATTAAGCAGGACAAGTGAGGAACTCTAATTCATGGGTAAGTGAGTGGGGCAAAAAAAGTACTATGTTAATTAGTGATTACTAATACAAATGAGCTTGCGCAATGAGCTTAGGTTCCATTGAACTGCCAATATTATGAACTAGTCAAGGAGTTCAGAGAAGATTCATTAAAGGTCAGCAGTGTGCTCCTTTTGGATCGTTGAAAATCTATTTGTGCATCATAGTGTAGATTGATTTTTTTTTTTTAATTGTCAATAGATTGCATTCCAGAAGATTATGCTGCCATTTTATCGATCTCTCATTCATTGAGATTAATTATCAATTAACAACAATATGATTTTAGCTAGCACCCTTCTCTTATTTCTCAATAAAATTTTTATTTGTTCATCTTTCTTGGGCAGCTCTTTTTTTTTCCTTTCTTACCATTGTCTGTAAGATAGCAAAACATTTTATGCTCTTGCTATATCTAAATATGACCTTAAGCATGTCTCAAAGTTGTCATTCTAATGGTTTACACATAGACTGTATTCTTGTGGTGGTTATTTGAAAGGAGAAAAGGCGTGGGTGGGCGGAAGTCGTGTGCTGGTGTTGAGCACGATGAATGATGCATTTTGGATTCTCAAACGGAAGAAGTTTGGTTGTGAACTTGTGGTTTAGGTTCTTTGACGATTGCTTTAGGTGATTTCCAAGTTGAAAGGGCATGATGGCACATGTCTTTTTAACTAATGTCTTATGGCTGCGCATTGCATGGGTTTTCTTGATGAAGCCGTTCTGTGCATCTTCAGTTTTATTTTTTCTTTCTTTTTTAATACGTTTAATAGTAAATTAAGTATAAAAATTGTTTTATCCATGAGAGTGACAACAATATGATTGTTTGTAGGTTTTCTTTTCAAAGCAAATATTTTGGTTACAATAGATGAAAAATTTAGACATAAGTTTATGTATTTTTTTATTAAATATTGATTTTGCTACTTCATCAACATTTTTTTTTTATTTATTTATAGTTAAAAATGTATGACATAATATGACTAGTTGTTTTACCAGTGCGTTTAACACCCAAAATAATCTGTGATATATGAATTACTTTGGAATGGAATTGCTAAAAGCATTGCATTTCAAGTGGAGGTGTTCTTCTAACACACCGAGCTATGCTAGATGCCTCAGAAATTTGACATATAACCATTTAAATGGAAGGGTAATGATGCGGGAATTTTTAGAGGTTAAAAGACTGCTTACAAGAAAGAAGCCTTTAGCCCAAGACCGAACAGAACAGGCCTGACTGAGCCTTGTGCACGGTTGACAGTGGAAACACTAATACATACGCCTCCAAAAATTAAAAAGAAAAAAAAAAAAAGAAACACTTTTGGATGGAAGTTGTTGTGTAATGCTTTTCCAACTAAAACAAACCTTGTTCAAAACTCAACCTTAACTTCCCTCCCTCCCACTCCAAAAAAAAAAAAAAAAAAAAAAAAACCTATTATCAAACTTTTAACTATTATGCTTTCGATAACATTAGCCAGTATTCTAAACCCAAAAAACAAAATAGTCAAAAAAAAAAAAAAAAAGGGAAAACATCTGATCCAAGCCTCACCGACAATAATTGGCATTTCTAGACTGACCGGGCTTTTCTACCTTGCCACCATGTTGATTATTCACTGGATTACTTCTGTACATCTGTTCTGATGGTGTTCCTAGCCATCTTTGCTGGCCGATTAGATGAATCAGAAACAGGGGCTTCAACAATAGGTGGTGGAAGAGCTAGGCGGCCATGCAGCAAATCTGTGTCGTCTGGTCCAGCCCAAGCTAGCGGATTCACTGTAGGGAAAATAAAAAGACTTCTATTAGACAGCATTATTTGCTCTGGCATGCATCAAATAGATTCCATTTGCTAATTTATTCCCAGAATCATAACAAGTATAATATCACAATTTAAATTGATGAATGTATTACACAGAAATTAAAGGAATGATGAAAATCTCATTTTTCATCTCCTTTTCAATATTTCCATTTCGAAGTTACCACAATGGTATAAATTCGAATGGGAACATCTCAAACCAATAATAGAATCCAAGATTTATAAGGAAACTAAGGCATGCAATCCAGAGTCTAAAAGAAACAGAAAAGAAAGCATCAAATACAAAGCATGAAGCACAGAACAATTATCCGAACAAAAGGAAAAAAAAGCACAGTATATGATACTTTAGAAGAGCATTTTTTTTAAAAAAATTTGTGGATGGTGGGGGGGACTGAAGCAACTAAAACCATTCCCACATCCTTTTACACAGAATATGATGTAGGAAAAAGTCCAACCAGGAAATACTTCCCAAAATAAAAGTGATGATCCAGTCTACATAAGCAGATGCTCAAGTGACGGAAGTTTCCCAGAATTATCAAACAAAAAGCAGTGTTTCCTCTAAATGGGTTGCAAACAGCTACATCTTAAAAGTGGCAGAACTTTGTCTTCTGTTATGGATGTCAAATGTGGAACAAGCAGGCGAAAATAGATAGATAGTAGAAATTTAGAGGAAAATAAGAAGATGATAGAAGCTCTTTGGGAGAAGCATAGGAAATCTGTAATTAAAGCAGAAAACTGGGATAAAATCTCAATACTCATTATCTCAAATATTCATCATCCAAAACCTAAAATTACATAGATATTAACAAACTAAACCCTAAACCTTCAAAATACCAAATCTAACCCTAAAACTCTAAAAGTTTGGAATTAAGTACATATTAATTAATATAATATAACCTAAAAATGCCTAAATATATGTAAAATTACAATCAAACCCATAAAATACAAAACAAAGTCCTAGTTAACTCAATCTCTCAACTAAAATATTTCCACATCCTCCATCAATTACATAGCTAAAACACTCATAATCCCTTTTCAGTCAGTAAAGAAAGCATATTAGTGTCTTCATCATACCTTCATCAGGTTCAAGAGGTCTAACATTATCATGCGAGTTAGTCCGATGAGCAGGGCGCTTTCTCACATAGTCTTCCTGTAAAGGCTTAGGAATCTGAAAGGAAAATCGAGACAAATTCACCCCTTCCGTTGCATACTGGGGATGTTCAATCAAGTACCTGCAAAATCAGAAACACTGTGAACAAACATATCAACAGAAAATTCAGTGACTTGGGACTGGGAGAGGTGTAGATGGTAGAATGGTGACTATTTACCAGTGATATCACAGCACCCAAGAAAAAAAAGGAAATAAAGAATCAAAAGCTTAAGTAATAATTATGTACTTTTGCACCTCCACCATTGAGCGCAGTCTCTTTCCTGATGGTGCTTGATAGTAGCTGAAATATACAGAAAAAACAAATTCAAAGTAGTTGATCGTTTATGGAATGAGATACCCTTAATTAGAACTCAAATCAAACAAAAATTTGCATTACTGAGTGCAATTTCAACCTAGATATACACAAATGGAAAAACATTATTAAATAAGGCAAAGGCATGAATTTTCATTTTTTCAGTTGAAAGCCATTTGTTGGTTTTTTATGTTAGCATTCTTGGGTCTGGGGGATGCATCAACGTGTAATAGTTCATAGTGCAACTAATGAAAGTGGTCACCTTAAAATGAATTCCTAATTTAAGCTAGCAGCAGATCAATCAGCTAGCAATGAATAGCAGCATTCTAACACCAAGTTCATCTTCACTCTTGGAAAAAAAAGTGAGTATTGATCATCTCTAAAACCAGGTTAACAATTATGGTTGCAGATACCAAGTCCTAAACATCACCATAACTCTTAGCCCCTGATTGAATAAACAAACAGAAATGTTTGAAAGAAGAATGAAATAAGAAGCAAGAAAAAGGAAGAGGAGACTCACCAAGAAAAAGGAAGAGGGAGACTCAGGTATCAGGTATGCAAAGAATGAAAACCACAGTAAATTGTAATCACAAGAATAACATCAGCAAAGAAATTAATATATTTAAAAACATATATCAGTTTTATAGGGAAAATTTTTGAGTGAACCAATGATCCCAAAAAAATTTGGAGAATTCAGATAGTTTAAGAGCATATAAGAGTTGAAGCTGATTTAAAGCTATTTACAATAATGTGAGAAACGTCACTAAGCAATATTAATCGATTGAAAGAGAACCCACAATAGTCAAGGCATGCTCCCAGAAGGCTAAGAACAAGAGATTTGTCAACCTATGATTAGATATGAAGTGGGAAAAAAACATGTCCAAGAATGCAAGGGGAATATTCCACACATACACATATATTTAGAAAAGATATTCAAATATCAAAAAATAGAATAATACGACAGGAGAAAAAGAAGAGAATTAAAGAAAAATCAAAGAAAAATGGTTAAAAATTGCCTCAATAGAAAGGTACACGTACATATCTGCAAATTTGGTACTTCCTTCACCTCTGATTCGTAGTAGCCTTTGCCAGCCTGGAGGAGGCTGAGCAATGTTAGGTTTATCAATTGCCCAAAGCCGGCTGCCATCTTGAGAGATATCAGTTGGATCATCACATGAGATATCAGGCCGCCATTCACAAGCTGTTTCGCAAACAAAGGGATTTTCTAAAATATGTTCACGTATTTCTTCATACTTTTCCTTTGTTGGTATAAGCCTCCATTTCAAACAACTGGCACACTGGACAGTGAAAGCCCCAACAGATGGCAATACTCTTGATGATGATAATCTTGGACCTGGAGGTTGGCACTGAATAGGTCCAGGAGGAGTGGAATCAACAATACCATTAGCAGTGGGATTATAAAGCACCATTTCTTTAGAAGCATTCCCATTATATAGGTCATCTTCGTTTTGTGTCTCCTGAGAGTCATCATCTGAAGATGATGAAGCAGAAGAAGCAACAGCTACAGCTTCCTGGAAAGTACTATCCACGTGACTTGCAAAACTTGATCCAGCAAAGTCAGTTGCTTCACTTTTCAACATAACAAAAGCTTTTCCCGGAGGTGACTGCATTTGAATGTCTAAATAGCCTGTTATAGGAACAGAATACATTATTGAGCTAATCAAATTTCAAAAATATCACTAACTTCTTCTCAGCTATAAATATATAAGAAGCAGAATATACACGTTTCACTAAACCCACTTCTATTATAAACTCGTGCGTTTACAAAAAAACAACAGCATATGGTGCAAACAACACAAACATTGCATTGCTTCCGACACAGACAAGAGAAACTCAGTAAACAAAACTAAACAGCATTTATAGGATTACCAAAACTTTTCTTCGTTGTTTTGGGTTATGATGAAGAAAACGCAGGATGTTTTGATGGTTAGATTTAAAATCTGGTAGTACGTTTATCTTTGTTGTTGCTGTAACACTTTTGACCTAGATTAAGGTGCATGTTAACTTATAGCAGCTTCTATCCTATGCTTAAACCAAAAACTTTTAGTGTATATTGAAATTGAGACAAAAATAATTTAGCTTAACGCTGAGACTGACCACAATAGCAGGAATAAATGATTTTCCACTAAACAAAAGTCTGAGTCTGCTTCATTTCAACTTTTGAAAAGATGGTGTAACTCAGATTTGCTACTTTATAGAGGGTAAAGTATGGTTTTCATTGCTACTGGTGAGAAGCAATGCTAGTATGCAATTCAAAACATCATTCACGTAAGAATAATAATGCCTTGCAAGAAAATAGGTTTAATTATGGAATTTACATTCACATTTCAGTCTATTGTCATCTTAACTTAAACATTGACTGACCTCGCAAATGCAAAACCAGCTTATCTCGTCAATTGAGACAAAATATAAGAGGTTTCTAATAGCCAACCAAGCACAGGCAACCGAGCTATTCTGCAGTGCGCCGTAATTTGTCCATCTCGCACAAAGAAAGAGACCTACTACATTATTAGAAGAAACACGCAATTAGAATTTATATCCAATATAAGTTATTTAAAAACAACACACACACACAAAAAAAGATTAACAATGTCGTACGAAATCAAGCTAGGAAATCATAAAAAAAAAGGAACGAAATCAAAAGTTTTTTTCCAAAGAAAAAACAATTAATCAATAGTTGGTCAAGTTATTTTTTTTAATAAAATTTTTAAGATTTATGACAAGCCAGTTATTGAAAATTTCAGTACGTGTTTTCTTATTAGTATGAGGATGCAAGATCTAGAACAGTGCAGAAAATATCAAATTTGAACAAGGCAAATCGAAATTCAAATCATAAAAAAATTTCTTATTTGTTCGCACGTCATTCGACAGCATTTCTTCCAGAACAAAGTAAAAAAAGAAAGTAAAGAAAATATGCATCATATTTCTCTGGTGTTCATGAAAAGAGCAAAGAATATTTCACGTCATGCATGATGATAAACAAACAGCACGACCCGATCCGATTAATGAAAATACGGATCTATCCAGAAAGAAGCCCAGTAGGAGAGACAGAAAGGAGACCTTACGCACAAATGAGGTGAGATGGAAGATGAAGGGAGGAGGGACCTGAGAAGAATAAGCAAATTAGAGCCGTTGACCAGTACTAATCCTACGGCCAGAATAACCCTTTCCCTGCTCCCCCCCTTTTTTTTTGGTTCTTGTTTTTTTCTTTCAGGAACCTCTGTTTCTTTCCCCCCGGAAACAGAGAGTTAGGAGCACAAAGAACAAAAAAAAAAAAAAAAAAAGGCGAAAAATGAAGACAATTCAGAAGGGAAGAGATAAATGGAAAGTAAAAAAAATCGTATTAGAGCCGGGCCGGGCCTGTTGACACCATAAACTGCTTGTCCAAGAGCCGTCACGACCCTCTCATTAAAGCCCATTTAAATACAATTTCAGTAAAAATAATTATCTAATAATAAAATATATTCATATGTCGGGCTGAATACGGATTTGAAAATTCATGTTCAGGGGCTCGAAGGCCAGGCGGTAGCTTGAACAACTATTATCGGCAATATTACAGTTTGAATATGGGTGTAAATAAGAGTATAAACTAATTAGCTATTTGTAATTTATAAGTTAGCCGAGTCTGATTCAATAAATACTCAAATTTAATTCATTTGTTAATGTGTTGAGCTAAGGTTAATGATATAATATTTAATGTTTATATGGACAATTTTATAAAACCTTTCAAGTTGAGTTTGAATGACGTCCAACTTAATTAAGTTACAAGCTTTAAATTTTTGAATCGTGTCAAACTCAATCACTTGGCTTAATTCAATTACACGTTTGAATGTAGAATTTGTTGAGTTGAGTTATATACTATCAAATCAAGTTCAATCCTTTTTTTTTTTTCCTCAAACTTGATTGAATTTAATAGAAGTTATCGAGTCATGATTAGTTAAAAGACAACAATAAAAAATATTGAGGAAATAAAAGATAAAATATTTTATTATTTTATTATTTTTAGATCAAATTAAAAAGTATAATAAGATTAGTGATAAATTCAATCCATCAGCCTAAATAGTATGGTGAATTTAAATATTATATCTCAGTTTTTTTTTTTTTTTTTTAACTTACTGGTTGCATAGTTTAGTTTTCAATACTCTCTACTCCATCCCCGAACAAGGAAAAAGATCTTTTTTAGTCTACTCTTCTCACTTTTCCATCTGCTCACTTTAGTCACTTTTATCTCTCAACTTCCAAGCATGCTAAAGTGATGAGCACATTCTGAGTCATGTCAAGGTCTCATGCTAGTTTCTATGGAGTGGGCTTTTATGATCATTTACCATATGCTTTCTAGGCAGCCTATGTAAGTACCTGAATAAAAAAAATTAATGGTAGATAGGTCTTGTTCACAGTGAAGAAATAACGTGTCAATTTATATTATTCAATTCAAAAGAAAAAGGTAAAAAGTATTTATGAAATTAGTAAATTATTGTTGTATTTAGTTTTTGATGAATATATGAACAATAAGTATTGAGTACCTACATAAGTTACTTGATGGGAAAAAGAGTATGGTTCCTAAAACTCATATTTTCACCAATTGAAGTTTTATGTGATGTTGATGTTATGTGTCTTGATTAAGTGTCAATTATCGCAAATAAGGATGGTTCAACATTTTGTATGTAGGATTAGTAAACTTGTATTTTCTTCTTGATTTGTCACAACTGATTAACTTGGTCCCTTTCATGGAAGTGGAGGTGCCTCAAGAACAGTCTAGGGTTTTGGCCTGATCAGATTTTTTACCCTCAATTCCTGTCAACTTCCTGCTCGTCTACTCTTCCCGTGTTAAACAAACTCTTCATTTTTCCCTAACAATATTCCTTGTGCAAAACTTCTTGGACACTTTTAGAACCACAAACATGACATCTGTGTTCAACACGGGATTTTGAGTCCATCCAATGTAGCTCTTCCCCAGTTTAAGTTACTTGGTTCCATGTCTATAATTACCTCAGTTTTTATCTGCTTAACATTCTCGATTGGTTTTATGAACACATTGGAGATTTGGCTTTGAGAAATGCCGAACCTACAAGTGTCCTTTCTATTATTCCTCAAATTGCATTTCATTGCTTGTGGTATTCCCTGAAGATATTTTCTGCACATGGAACAAGTTCAATTACTTTTTTTTTTTTTTTGTTTTATTGCTAAATTCTTGTTATATTTGTTTTCTGTTATATTATGCTCTAAAATGCAATGTTGCTTCCATAAGATTTCTCTCTCTTGTTTATTATTATTATTATATATTTGGTACGTTTAGACAAGGGTAGGAAAGGATAAGAAGAACTAGGCCAAATTTGAAGTCTTATTTGCTATAATTAAGATTTCTACGATCACATATTCAAATCTGTTGGCAATATTGGAAATTAACTTTAGAAGAACGCACTTGTGTTGTGGGCCATGTAAAAATGTAGATTCATAATCTTCTTTTGATTTGCTAATGGTGGCAACAGCATATGCAGGATGAAGATGCAGGTAGGCCATAAAGGAAGTTCCTGTGAGTTTCTGAGTGTGATGTTTAATAATAAAGGTGGATGAATGAAACCTGGTTTTCTCTTGGACAACAAATTGTGTTAATTACCAGCTTCAGAACTTTCTGTCTTCATGATGGTTGGCGTGTAGGGTTTAAGTTCCATTTTATACAAGTTACTTGTGATTAGAACATTAGTCTTTTGTAAGCTTTTAGGATCAACTATATATTTCAAATTTTGAAATGAAATAGTATAAGATTATCTAATTAAGATTTAGGAGTGTCATCTCTCTCTCTCTCTCTCTCTCTATATATATATATATATAGACACACACACACAATGTAAGAAAGTTTTTTCTTTTTGGCTTTGTATGTTTAAATAAATAAGGTTAACTTAAACGACTTAAAAAATTAATTTCATATACACGTGGTTGAGTAAAAACCAAAACATAAAATAAAACTTAATATAGTTAAAAGAATATTGTTATTAGTAATTTATTTACCTATATTAATTAATTTAACAAAAACAAGTAACAAGGAACAGAATTTTTTAATAGAATGAAAACATGAAAAGCTGAGCGTTTTAACAAAAGTTGTCCAACATTTTATCTACAGTCAGTCCAAAAACAGACCACTCTAAACAAATATGTAGGGAGTTTTCAAACAGTATAAATTAAGTCTGCAATTAATGAATATATACCACTGATCAAGCAGCAGACATATATATTTTCAAATTCAAACAGTAGAAATTATATTAAGTAAGTAGGGAGTTTTGTTCTTCATCTGGTAAAGTAAGTACGGGGCGAGAAGAGTCGGCGCGGTGAAAACATCCCCATGTACCGTGGTGAAGCAAGACTGTCGATGGACCTATATTCCGACATGATAAACCCCTCTCTCCCCCGGCGGGCTCCGCCTCTCATCATGTGCCCATTGAAGGTCCCATGTTTCACCAACTTCCTCACCCATGATTTCTTCTTTTGGGGGCTTTTGTGCCCTGCATTCATTTTCTCACTCAGGTACTCCTTAACCGCATGCAAGCTCTGCTCAAATACCTCCATCGGTGGTGAAACCAAGGGGTTCCCTTCCACGCAAAGCTTCTGGAGCTTCTTCATGCATCCAATGGAGTCAGGCAAACTTGATATGTTGTTGTAACTAACGTCCAATTCCACGAGGGAAACCAGGAGGCCGATAGAATATGGTAGGTTTTCAAGGTATTGGAAATTTTGGCTTACGTTGAGAACCTCTAGGTTGATTAGGTTCTCCAAGTCCTGAGGGAGAGTCCTGAGGCAATTAAGCCGTGCATCGAGAACTCGCAAGGAAGTCAGGTGAGTGATGGATTGAGGGAGGAAAATCAACTTGTTTGAGTTGACTGAGAGTTTCTTCAGGTTGATCAGATCAAATCCAATAGTGTCTGGCAGCATTGTAAGCTTGTTGAAGTTAGCATTCAATTCTTCCAATGACCTGCAGCCATTAAATGCTTGCAGAACATTAATTTGCATCTAGCTTTAACATTCGTATTCACAATCCTCAAAATATAGACTAGAAGAAAATTAAACTATATATGTAGCAATATTTTAAAAAATACAAACCTGCAATTTTCAATAGTTTTAGGGAGAGTTTGAAGAAGGTTGCCAGAAACGTTGAGAATCTTGAGTTTAGAGAGACAACCAATGGAGTTTGGGAGAGACTTAAGCTGATTGGAGTGCACATCCAGCGTCACCACATTCAATAATCTTGCTGTCAGGGACTCTGGTATACTCTGTCAAATTTAATTAATTAAAAGAATTGGTACAACTGAAAGCCTTACGTTGGCATTTTATGTTTCTTTTAAATTTCAAATTAGTAGTATTAAATTCAATATCAGAGATGGAGCATTTTTGTACACCCGTTGAAGATTCTAAACAAGACCTTTACAATTATATTAAATAAATAAATAAATATGCATAAATCCACAATCAATTTCGGAGGATATATATGAATATTATTATTATTAGAAGTCCCAGTTTAATTATGGTTTTGTACATATATATATATATATGTTCCAATATAATCACAAAAGGAAGTCTCGACTATTTTGTATTTGCGCAGTAAAATTCTTTGTTCATAAGAAAAGGGGAAAACAGCAAGATAAATTATTTGACCTTGATTAAAGAGATAAATTAGGTTTTTAATTTTAATGTAAATACATATATACTTATAATTTTAAAAAATAAAAGCAAAGAGAGGCACTGTTTATTTATATATCTATGGACGGCAGAAGTGAAAACGAGCCATTATGTCTCAACTTATTATGAACGGTGATTATATATAAACGCATTAAAAAGGTAATAGATAGAGAAGTTAAAAGGAAAAAGGTCATTCTCTGTTATAACTATCATTTCATTCACTTTTCCTCCACCTTTCTATGTGTCTTGCGTGATGAGAGGAAAAGCAAGGGAGATTGTATTTAGCTTATGAATTGAGGATTATATATATTTATTTATAGTTATTCATAAGCATCGGAAACGGAAACAGCAGTTTTGTATTTGATCATGTATGTAATTAAAAGAAAAAAACAATTGAGAAGAGATGATAGAATAGATACCTGAAGATTATTGTTGGAAAGGTCTAACTTGCAAATAGTAGCCAAATTTAGAGAAGGATTTGGAAGAGAATCCAATGACATCCCACTCAAGTCCACAATCTCCAGCCTCTCTTCTTCCTTGCATCTTCTCCAACCATCTCCCTTCTTGCTCAAATCCATTCTCACTTGCCGCTGCTGCTGCTGCTGTTCATACATCATTTTAATTAACAACACTACCCCCAATCCCAAAAGTGTAAGAAAATCACCCAAATTAATGATCAGAGGTAAAAAAAAAGAAGAAAAGAAACAACAAGAGGAAAGAAAAAGTAAATATTGCGTTGTTTGTTTTGTTGTAGGTTATAAAAGGAGAAGTACGAGGACGTACGGAGGAGCTAGCGGTGAGGTAGAAAGAAAGAAAGAATAGTGCAAGAAGAGAAGAGGTTTGTCCAAAGACTGAAAAAGAAAGAGAAACAATGAAAAAGTACAAAGAGCCGTATGGTTAGGGGGTTTTGTGGCCACGTCTCCCTCTTGGTAAAGTCAACCCCTTTCTCTTCCTTCTGTTTCTCTTCGGCTGCCCGCCAATCTCGCTCTCACTTCTCATTATTCACTCTTTTTTCTTTTTTCCTTTTTGGCCGAGTCTCATTATGAACAAATCCAGCTGGGATTTATTTTATTATTTATTGGTCATTCATTTAAATGATAATGAAATTACCTACCGCCCGATTGTGCCGGGTGGGAAACACAAATCACAGGCTATCATGCACCCAACTTCATCCCATTCTAACGACGATATTAACACACACTATGCTCTTCACTTCTCTCTCTCTCTCTCTCTATCTATTGGTAAGAATTTTTTGCTTCCCGAGAAATTAGAGTCCAAGTAGCGCATAGTAGAGCATAGTAACAATCAGCATGCCGAAAATAACGGTGGAAAAAAATTTTCTACCAACCCACATTAGTTTCAGCATTAATTCTTATGATAAATGTTAGAACTAATGGGATCTATACCAGATTATGTTTTTCTATATATGATAAGATACTGTTTCTCTTATTACCAGGTTCTGTTGCCTGGTTATCACCTTTGTAATAACTGAGAGGTCTCTACTCTCACACCCCGTGATCAATGCAAAAACTATATATGGACAACTTCCCTATGAAAACCCTAGGAAAAATATATAAGTTGACAATCAATTTCCTACAATTAAAATAATGCCTGGTCACAACTATCTGTAGATACTCCCAACAACAAAAAAAAAAAGTATTACGATTAGATCACCAAAATAAAGACAATTATGACAATGAGTTGTTTATATATATATATATAGCTAGGCAATATCCTACAATATTATTTTATGGAGCCTAGATCCGTTTCACAAAACTATAAAATCATGACCGCAATTAATCAGTAAGCAGACCTTTTAATTGAGTTTATATAACAATTAAGGAAACCACGCAGTGCAAAGTATGTGTGAATTAACAAATTAATGGAATTATTCCTTGGGGAAGAGCAGCCTGCAGATCAGAAAAAGAAAGTCAAAATGAATGATTTACCATATCCTATCTGTAATTTTAAGAAATCCAACAGCAACGGTTCAAATCCCTAACTAGAATGAGTTCATGTTAGAAAAATTAATAATGAAATGATTGAGAAAATGTTTGGTATATATACTTGAACAATTGCGACTTGCAAAAGGACTCCACGGAGACCGATAACAATGGAGGTTGCAACAAAGCTATCAGCTGAGCGGGGCCTGTCAAAAACCTGTTAGAAAAAATAATTAAGAGAATAAAAATAATAGAAATAAATTTTGATTTTGAGATGTAAAAAATATTTTTTGAAGATAATTATATTTTTAGGATATAACAAATTTCAAATTCTCCAGTAAAAAAAATAAAAATAATTATATTAAAAATATATTTATAATAAATAAACATATATAAATTTTTGTTCAAATGATTTTGATATTTTATATAATCATAACTTTTATGAATAATGATCTATTTATATTCAAATAATTATAACAATTTATTATCAAATAATTATAACTATTTAACATATAATAATTATTTTTATTTAAATATAATTATTTAAAATATGAACAAAATTAATATAAAAATTAATTTTATTCATTAATAATTAAAATTTTGTTTCCAATATAAAATGCATTACATTTTAAATTATCAACAAAAAATCATAAAAAATGTTGCTCAAGATTTTCCACAAGCTATGATCTTCGGTTGTAAAGCCATGAAAAAGCCTGTCAAGTACCAAGGCAAGTATTTACTGTCCTCTTGGCTGAACTATATATTGGCTGTTCTTGAGGCGCTTTCCATTGTGGTCTAAGCCAATCTTAATCTCTTACTGAGATCGTTATTGAAAGCGACTTCAAAATGATTATCTCTTGGTAAAACAAAATTTGTGACAGCTAGCCCGTGAAAATACAGTGACATCTTAAACAAGTTGTACAATTTATATGTTGGTGTACAGGAAGTTTCTTTTGTTCATGTTCACAGGGAAGCCAATCATTTTACCGATTCCCTCGCTAAATTAGGAGTCAATCATACTTGCGAGCTAGTGACTTGGGCATGGGTTTGTAACTCATTTTTATTAATAATAATCTGTTTAGTTAAAAAAAAAAGAGTAATTGTTGTGCCATTATCAGTGCGAAGTCATGATGTATTATAAGTTTGGATCAAAGCATTGATCAGTCAAAGAGCGATAAGTACATACACCTAGACTAAACATTGCCATTTCTAGACCAGCATTGGATAATACCGATAATATTAGGGATCAAAAGAGAAAATTAAAATAATAATAATAATAATAATAATAACCAAAAAACTAGTTGACCCTGATAAGAAAACCTTATGTATCTATTTCGCCTTTTACAAAAGCTAAAAGTTGAAGCTTTTCTTGAAATGGCTTCAACGAGTTTTAATGATATCTTTCCACTTCCCAAATCAACTTTTAAATTAATGGAATTACAAAGAAAACTATACTAAAGCCTGTTTTAATTTTTTATTTTTTTTGGTACTCTATTCTCTACAAATAAGCGGCTTGTGTTCGTCATCTTCATATGATTTGTTTTCTTTTTTTTTTTTTTCTATAATTTCTTTTCTGTTTTCTTTCTTAGCCAAACCTTTGCCGAAACATATAAAACCAAAGAAACTTACGTTTTAATGTTGCCTATAAGTAAAAATGTTATTTTGTTAATGAATCCTTTTAATTAGGAAGTAGTCAAAAAATTACTTATGCATAAATCATACCTTTTTTTTTTTTTTCTTTCCAATTTCCCTTTCGGAAACAAAAAGTATGATAGATCGTGTCGCATGTATCCAATGATGACTCCATATAAATTTGAATTATACCATTAAAATATATAATATGTTTCCATATAATTTTGAATTATTTTTCAGATTTGGAGAGGGGTAATCAACAACTTAAGCTGCTGATTCACAGATGGAGAAGTAGTACACCCACAAAATTAATGTTGTTTTTAAACTATATATATGTATATATTTATTTAGTAGAAGAAAATAAAATCTCCGATCTATTATCTCTTCCTCCTTGAAAAGTTTTGAAGCCTCTTGATCATGGCAGAAAAACAATTAAACTAAGAAAAAGAATTGATTACTATTGGGTAGCAGATCGAGCATCTACAATTACGAGGATCAAAGCTTTCGATGGCTGCCAATCAAATGCTTTGATATGATAGTTTTTTAACATTGGCCTCAAAACACAAAAGTTTGCAAAAAACATGTAACAGTAGTTCTAAACAACATTTCAAAATTAATGTTTAATAAATAAGAAAACACCTAGCTAGCAATAATCTAGAAGGGGAGTAGCTAATAATACAAGACCAGACGCCTGGAACATAAGGTGCAGTAATATTTTCTCTTAATGTTGAAACAAATGGGTAAGAAACAGAACCTCCACCTCCTCTCCACATCCACAGCTTCCACTTTGCCACCACAGTGCGGACAACACCCAGGCGCTTGCTGTCTCCCCAACTCTCTCTCTTCTTCATTACACAGAATAGTTACCAAACACATTTTCTTTTTACTTTCCCTTAATTTGTAGAACAAATATTTATTGTTTTCTGTTTTTTGATGGGGTTTAGGGCAACAGCAGAAACAAAAAAAGTAATTAAAGGGTATTAAAGAAAAGATGTGAAGAGAAGAGTATTTATAGACAGGGGGATTGTTACAATCTGGACAGAAATTTTGTTATGGATGTTTTTTCATGTTATTGTTTTAGCAGTAATTTATTAATCCTCCTCTCCTCGTATTGTAAACCAATTATGATGTGATCATTGGTTCATGCATTAATTTCAGCCTGTGAGGGGTCCCACATGCATTTAACTGACTCCCCAGTTGAATCTGGATGAATGGATTGCGCTAAAACCGGGACAGCTTGTCGTCGATTTTCTGGAAGGGCAGTTTGTGACCTTTGACGGTGCAGGTTTAACTACTGGACGCATCTACGATTAATATTTTAATTTTGTGAGTTCCTTCTGGACAAACAGAGGAGAAGAAGTGAATAAATATGTAGATTAGAGAACACTTTGACATGCAAATAATTAAGATAAAAATCTTATGTTATTCCATCTATATGGTTGTTATGTCTATTAGTTTTTCTTTTTCTTGAATAATGTGACATATATGATTATGAGACATACAGCTGAAATCAACAGAAAAAGTTGAACACGCCAACAGAAGTCTAACTTTTTTTGTTGGTAAAATGGCCGCATGGAGGGCACAAGGTTTTGCAAAGGGGTTTCGGTCTACACGGACACTGCGGACTTTGTTTGAATGGAACCGCCTTTCGTATTTGACATGTAACGTATATTTTCACAAACAATCCCTGCTTCTCAGACTTCAAGAGATACATAGAATAATACAGCTCTTATTCTAAGAGATAAATAATAGAAACTCCAGCCAATAACATACATATATAATGATGATGATGAGCTCTTGTAAGATGTTACGAGACTTGGTCTTGGTGCATGACGCTGACATAGATTATCTAATTTGCTTAACAAATTCATCTATAGGTGTTATACATTTTTTTTATTTTTAAATTAAAATTAAATTCGTTACAATTATATTTAATCATTTTGATGTAAATGTAAAAAAATATTAATGTAAATAAAGTTTCATAAATATACAATTCATTATCTTTATAATTTCCTCTTCTTTTTTAGTTGATTGATATATAATGCTTAAAAATTTGGTCACATGATGTCATCGTCTCTATTTCGAAATGTAAGGTCAATCCAGTGGGACGTAAAATCGATTCGTTTGCATTTTTTTACGTACCTACTCAACTTGTTATCTTATTCTTTTAATTAAAGGTCCAAATCTTTGAGCTTATAATGATTATTTAAGGACTACAGAAGATACTGTTTGTTGCAATAATAATGTACATCAAATACTAGGTTGGCAAGTCTTAGATGGTAAGCAAGCTATATATTATAGAGCTTCCACTCCCATACCCTTTCTTTACCATTTTTTTTATTCTTATTTGAGTATATATTCATTTTTTTAAAAAATAAGTTTAGGTATGGTGTGCAATAATTAATTAATGTTATTTTTAATTATTATGATTGTTGTAGTATAATTAATATATAATCATACTTTAACTCGTAGGATTACCGGAGTTTCTTTTCATTTTTAATTAGGGTTTGATATTTTGAAAAGTACTCTAATTATTAAAAAAAAGAATGAATGACCCAGTAGCAGTAATGAAAATTCAACTTTACTGAAATCCTACTCTCAAAAACAAAAACAAGAAAAAAAAATAAAAAGAAGAATGAACCGAATTCATCTATCTTCATCATCTTTCTTTGCTCTGTTTTCACCCATTGGTATATCATATTATTTCTTTCTCCTCTCCCTCTTTCCTTTTTGGCTTTTTCTCCCCATGAAAGTTTCCAAGCGTAGAACCATTTTAATCAAATCAGATATATATACGTACAATGCTTGAACAGTAGACATAATAACAAAGCACTTGTTACATCTTAACCAAACGCTGCTAAAGGGAGGTTACTGGCAAAAGCTGCAACTACACTATGAACATTGAAATCATTAGATCGGTTCCAAAAAATTTAATAGACTTTTAGCATCTCATGTCAAATAGTATCCGCAGATAAGATAATTCTCTTTTTTTTTTAGACACTTTCTGCACCAAATCCATCGCACCTCTCCCCATTGCCTTCGCCCAACTTGGACTTTGGCAAAGAGGAGTAAACCTTCAGAGGCCACAGTTGCATCTTAGCATGTAAATTCAGATATGTGAAAAAGGACATGCCACCAATAGCTATAAATGCTCCACAAATACTGCTTGTGCCTGGATTTGAACCAAAAATGTAACAACTTCCAAGAAGCAGAACACAAGTTTTGAATTGTCCTAAAACCACATGGGAAATTGCGGATGTAGCCCTGAAAGTTGATATAATAAAAATCAAACAACCAATGATCTTCATCAGGATTTAATTATCACTATTACGAAAAAATGGTTAAGTCTCTTCACAACCTTCGTTTTATCAGTCTAGAAACCTTTATCCATCCTGAAATATCAAAACATATAAGAGAAGTCCAAATTATCCATTTTTTTCCTTTTCTATTTATGTATAATTTCTAGCCACAAAAACTAATCTAGCTAAAAAAATGTATGAGAACATATGACATGCACCGAAAAATCCAGTTGGAATCCTGAGATTAGAGAATTATGAAACCCTGTATGGTGCAAAGTCTAAAATTTCATGCGCATGAACCTGATAGAAATGAGATCCCAACCATTGATAAAAAATAAAAAATAAAAAAATCATCTCCTTTCCTATAGAATTATTATTTTTACACTTCATTTTCCTTGGCCTTTTTGAGAAGATTTAAGTCTTCAAAAACCTGTTTGATTCAGGGGAATAGCTATTTTATTCCAAGTTTTATTCCTAATGGAATGGCTGTTACTAGGTTTCTTTCAAATCTAAGAAGGAAATAGCTGCTGCAGGTCAAAAGGTCTATTGTCTTTCTTTTTCCCTTTTCATGTACTAGAGGAATTCAAAGTACAATTTATGGTTCCTAAATCACAGCAATATAAAATAAAAGGAAACCAATGTATGGAAAAGAAGGATATTGCAGAAGTTTGGAACCTCTCAATCCACGATATTCTCCTTTTTTATTGGAAGGGGGTTGGGGTGTACAATCCATGATATTCTTAGAGAAAGGCAAGAAGGTAGAGGAAGAATGATTCGATTTGAACTCTCTTGAAGGCTAACTCAAATATTTAGGACAGAAATTTGAGCAAGCAAAGTACATGTAAACCGAGTCCCAAGTCATTTCTTATAATATCTTCACTGCATAAGTTTAAGTAGAGCTGCACAATATTGACCATGCAGGAAAAGCATACAGAAAGTAATTTTTATTTTACCAAACCAGAGCAATTGCAAGACAGATCAGTTAGTTGAAAACAACAACTAGCATAGTTGAACAATTAAAATAAATGGAAAGACGCATTTACCCAAGTGCCAAAGCTCCTGACCACTGAAGCAAGAAGCCAAGAAAAGCTGACACAAGGATTGCTGATGTATTGCTGAAGCTCCAAGGGAAGGCGAGCACACCAGGGGGATCAAGGAAAGGAATCATAGAAACCAGAAAAAGCAAAGTGATTGGCGTTGTTTTCCACATTAACCTGATCAACAAATTCATAACTTCAACAAGCAGTGAATTTGACACATTTTAGTGACAAAATCAACATAAAGGAGAATAACAACTTGTTTGGATGAAGGAATCAAAAGGAAAAGAAAAGCACAGGGATAACTATGAATCCATTTTCCATAAAGAAGGAAAAAAAGAAAAGGAGGATGGATAAAACGAATCATTTTTGGAGAATATATTAGGCCTTAGGACACACAACAAGATCAAGCCAGCCCTGGTCCCATAAACCCCACTGGCCACCCCTACGCGTAGCAGTTTGAACCTAAGACCTCCAAGTTGAAAGCCTTGTGATTAAACTGAAAAATTGTCACCTTAGGGAAATGAAGGAAAAGGAATTAATCATCCTTCATTGTGCCACATTTTATTTTCCCCAATAAATTAGTGGAATAAGGACAGAAAATAGGTCTTAAAGAATTTTTCATTGACATGACCATTTTACTCCTTATAAAGAGTAACTTGTAAAAGTTTCTCTTTGTGACTGTGGACTAGCAAAATGTGCAATACTAGTTATTTTTCTCTCCTCTTCAAACATCCAAACACGGAGCTTTTATTATCCTTTCTATCCTCTTGATTTCCTTGGGCTAAGCTTATCCTTTGCATTCATTTCCATCCATAACTCCCAAATAAATTACAAGTATGCTCAAAGGAGGTTGCAACATACGACAATGCCGTCCAATTCTCTTGTTGCTGCATGTTGGACCAAAGGATTTTATTGATAGCACTAGGGATTATCCATGCCAACGCTACACCAGCTCCAAAGAGGCTGAATTGTAAATCCGTAACCGTAGCGATTGCAACACCAATAGATACAACTGTTAGTGCAATCACCTGACAGATTTCAAAGGAAGAATTTCAAGAAAACGGAGACAACTGTGTACAGAGATAAATTCAACAATTTTAGACAGGACAGTAACACTCAAAAATTTATGAGAGTCACATGGGTCCAAAGATGCAGGAAGAAAATATAAAAAAGAGATTACTATTTTAGAGGTTGTTTAAATTATTTGATTGATTCTTGCATGAAACAACAAGTGAAACATCTATGGTTGAAGTCATTCGAAAAGTGTCTCTGAACATGACCACTTCCTCTTTCAAGCCTGAATTCATTGCATTGCTAGTCTGCATGTCATGTTGATGCATTATAATCTATCTCTCCATCTGGAGAAAGATCTAAATATTTATTTAAGCTCCATACAAAAAACCTCTCATTTGTTTTCCGATTTCCGATCACCATAACTGAGGCTGGTAAAAGTGATAGCATCATTTCCAAGTTCACAGATGAGAGAGATGAACAAGTTACCTTGGAGAAAGTGACTGTCTTTTTATACCATATAAACTCTGCAAGGACAATAGATGGTGTGACAGCAATCTTAGCCATCTGATAAAATCCAACGCTGGAAAAATAAATTAATTAACAAATAAGTCAAAGGGTCCTCCAAGAGACTTTGGTTAGTTATTATTTAAAGAGAAATAACATATCTAACCTGTTGTATTTCAAGCTGACATTAGCAAGACCAGTAGATAAAGACATAACAATACCAAGAATAAACAAAGACAAAGGGGTTGATTTTGAGGGTGGAGATGCTGGGAGGAGATAAAAAGACTTCAAAATGGCCATCAATGCCCAGCTGACAGCATAGTGAATAAAAGTCAGAAATACTGGAAACTGGAATCCTACATTTTTAAGTACCTGAAAACACAGAAAGAGTCAACCAATCATATAGGATAATTCTGCTACATCTAAAACCAAGATCGCGACAAGTAGTTGCTTCATATACGGGGAAAATTTGGCATACAAACCCATTTGTTCATGAAAATAATACCAACAGCAACTATAAAGTTGAACGTAAGAGCAGCAACAGGGCCACTAATTCGCTGCTGTTGATACTTTGAACTTTCAGATGAGCGGAATTTGTTAAAGAGGGAAGCATGCAACTCCTCCAGGGCTTTTCCTGAATTTATGAGACAAGAAACAAAGAAAATGAGGAGAAACACATTGGAGGGAATAATATTTATCAATATATTAAATAGTTTATACAGGTTCCAATAGTTAAACATTTTATTCCAGAGAGATAGAATAACAAGATCAATTAAACACTGTCTGAACAAAACCTCAACAGCTACGCTACACATAACAGGAATAGGCAAAAATATTTGGTGGAAGGTAAGGGATAAAGTGTACTGTAGGCGGATTACTAAATGGTTCCAATAGTTTTCAGACAAAGTAAATAGATGTCAATAGATTGTAACTATTGCAGTAGTTAAGGATAGAGTATAATAAAAAAATTATCAGACAACCTAAAAGGCAGATGGAAAGCAACATTGCACTATAAAAAAAAAAAACCACGACAGCTGTGTTTAAAGATTATGCATTCTTGAATGAGAAAAATGTTACAGAAGAATTGTATCAGAATCAGCCAGTCCTGATGAGATGCATTTGGTGTGTACCATCAAGTTCAGACAGCTAAAAATACCTTGATTTAGACTTACTCTTGTATATAAAGAAATTATTGAAAAATCGCCATCTCCACGCATTACACTTGAAACAGATAAAAATACTTATCTAAGAGTGAATGGCTAAATGGTTCAAGCTAATCAAAAGAAATAAGATAAGGATGCTCCTACTACAATTATTAGATAAAAAAACCCCTTTTCTGTCTCAATTATTCAAAAACGCACATATAATGCCACGCATTGAGTCTGGCAAGTAATAGTTTTAGTATAACCTAAAAGAACTCTTCCTCCAAAACTCCAGCAAAGGGCATGTACTTTTGTTATCAAAGAAATTTCCAATTATCCATTACAAATTCAATCCCGGTTGATTAAGATACACTACCGATTATCCCTTCCCCTGGTAGAATTAATTAATCAAGCAATAATACCACCATTATTTTCAAAAGAAACAGAAAAATAAAAAGAACAATAGAGTTGAACTTACTAACAAATTCAAATAAAGAATAGTGTTTGATATTATTTCTCGAGACAAATCCTAAATTTTAATTTCCAAAAAATAAAAAAAAAAAGGTAGGATAATGCAATAGCAAGCAAATGTTTGAGGAACTGACCACCCCAACCCAAAAAAAAAAAAAAATAAAAGACAGAAAATGAGAAAAGAGTGGAACGGATTTTACCTCTTTCGCCAGCATCGCTGTCCTTCCGCTTCAGTATCTTCCTCACATCTTTCCTCACTAAAAAATTGAAAATCTCACGGCTACAAAGCATTTTTCCTCTTCAGTTTGCTGGTTTTTACACTTCCATTACTAATTTAGTACAAGGAAAGTCAAATCTCATTTTTTCACGGCAGCAACTTGGGTGTTATTTTTATAGTTCGAGAAAGAAACTCCAAAAACAAGGGTTCTTTTGCTTTTAATTTTATCTAAGTTTTACTAGGATTTTCGGCTCAATTAATTTATTCAATTTGTAAGAAGAAGAAAAAAGAACTAAAGGCTAATATATATATATATATATTAAATTCTATTTTTATGCAGGAAAAAAGAGACACGTGGCGCCGATAGCGGAACACTGAAAGCTGTCGGAAGAGAGAGAAAATCAAGGTGTTACTGTTTAATGCCCACCCACCGACATCTAAAATAGTGGAAAAAAGTACGTGTCATTGTGCTTCAGTTCTTGGGATGTTTGGATGTTTGGGTTCGAATCGGCGCTGACTGTCGTTTTTTAGTTTTCTTTTTCCTCTTGTCGGGTTTAATATTTTCAGTTGAGATCGACTTGAATTTTTTGTTTATGGTTCAGTGTAGGGCATTGCTCTTCCAAAGAATAAAAAGGAACAGAAAATTTGATTCGACATTAGAATTTTTTTGTTTTCATAGCACTTTTTTAACTACTAGATTAAGAGGTAAATATATATAGGCTTGAATACTAGACCTGCGCGAGGCGCACCTTGACTCTGATCATGATGTTCGTGTGTCCATTACGACCGTTTGCTAGTGGTAGAGTTTGTAAAATTATTGGAATTCGAAAATTTTGTTCGATTCTTTTTATAGTGAAAATTAAGAAATAGAAACATTAACAAGTATCTTTATAGGCACCCTAATTTATTCGGATTCAGGTTTATTGAGCCTGGTTTAATAAAAGTTAGGCCTAAGCTTATTAGGTGTAACTCATATCTGATCAAAATGGAATAAATTAGTCAATTTTATTTGTATTTGTATTTTTTTTTAGTTAATAGTTCTTAATTTTATTTTTATTATTTTTATTCTAGAAGATCAAAAAGAAAAAAAGGAATTTGCCGTGAATGGTGACGAGTAAGATTAGAGTGCAATTCAATTTATTTTCTGTTAATCTTATTCAAAGAGAGAATTAGGGTCAATCAGAAACTCTTCTGATTGAATCTTATAAATAACACATGAATCATACACAGAAAGATACAGGGAAAATACAAAGAAAACAAAGGCAAAAAAAAAAAAAGAGTGTTTGGAAGGTGTTAGCAGCAATCCTAAAATTTTTAAGAATTTTTTTTGAATTTTTTATTTTTTTTTCTAGAAAATTTCATAATTCGATCAAATTTTCGATGAATTTTTTGACTAACTTTGAATTTTTTTGCAAGATTTTTCAGTTTTCGATGGGTTTTTCCAGATTTCGGTAAAACATTCAACCGAAATCTGGGTTTTCTAGAGAGGGAGGAGAGAAAAGGAATGGAGAGAGAGAGAAGGGAAGAAGGATTCCGAAGGAAAAGTTGAGATTTGAAATTATATACCCTCTAAAAATGACGTCATTTTAGAGTTTAAATCAACCTAGGATCCGCGTGTTTTTGTTTAGACCAACTCGACCCAATCGCAACCCGCATGCCAGCTTTCCTCTAGAGCCAAGCCAAGCCGAGCCGCACACTCTCAAGCCGTGTTTTTTAGCTAATTTCTATGCCTCAAGCCGAGCCAATCTCAACCGCAAGCCGAGCCGTTTCCATTTTTTTTTATATTTTAAATTTTATTTTTAAAAATTAGTTGTTATTTATGTGTTTGTTTATTTTAGGAGTATTTTTGCATGATTTAATTTAATAAAAATAAAAAATAAATAAATTTTGTGAATAAATATTAATTATCCAATGATGAAATTTATAGAAATTTCAAATGGTAAATTTTTATAAATTTTTAGGTGAGAAATTTTATTTAAATTTGGCCCAAATGATGGAATAATTTAGATAAAGTTTCAATAACAGTAATTAATATTTATTTTTCAACCAAAAATAATAATAAAAAATATAAAAATATATAAAATAGGAATTAATACAAATTACCTAATAATGAGATTCTTAGAAATTTCAAATGGTAAATTCTTAAGAAATCTCTAGGTGAAAATTTTTCTCTAAATTTATCCCAAATTGTGGAATAATTTAGATGAAATTTCAATACAAATAATTGTATTTTTTTTCAAATAATAAAATTTCGTTGAAAATATGTGATAATTATCCAATGATGAGATTCTTAAGAATTTCAAACAGTAAATTTCTAAGAAATTTTTAGGTGAAAAATTTTCTCTAAATTTGGCCAAAATGGTAGAATAATTTAAATGAAATTTCAATAAAAATAATTGTCATATTATTTTCTTTCCAAGAAAAAAATTAAAAAGAATTTCTAAATAGGCCCAAATGGTGAAAAATTTTAAAAATTTAAAATAAAAAAATATTTCTAATTTGGCCCAAATTGTGAAATAATTATATGTATTTTCAACAGAAAAAAATAAAACTAACAAAAAATTTTTCGATGAAGGAGCCTCTTCAAGGAAACAAACGGGATCCTTTAATACTCTTGAAGTGAGAAAATATTTTTATGAGTTCTACCAGATTGATGAAAGAATCTTATTAATTATTTCTAATATTTAACATAAAAATTTAAAACCATTAGACTCAAAACTCTATGATAAATTTAAAATAATATGGTACCATCTTTTGGATTGACATGTGGGGGTGCTATAACCTTTCTCATATGAAACCAACTCTTGAATCTTGTTTTGGTTAGTAGACCCGAACCTATTATTTTAAAGACTTTTATTCAAGTTTAGGAGTTCCTTAAAGGGATAGATTCCTTAGGTGGCCAATCACACCTAGATAAAAAAAATTGGTGGCGACTTCATTCATTTGTTAAGTCTAGCTATAGATTTACAGATCTATATGTTATGACAATTTGATGACTTCATCGGAGACGTTATAAAGAGTCAAGCCATAGTTTTTGAATTTATCATGTCCTTCAATTTAATGGTTTTACATTGTAATTATTTGTTTACTAGCATTCTTCCTTTTTGTCTTGTATTTTATTTTTGGGGTATGAAACTTATATGTTCTTTCACACATACTATCACATGCATTTATATTACATGAGCTCTATACCCGAGCTTGTCCCTTTTAAGAGGGAGTAAAATACCTACGCTCTCGTGAGATGATAATCTTCGCAATGACTAACGAAATACTCTCACTCAAATTGAATCATTTCTATTAGTAGCCTATGATGGGTGAGGATTGGAATGTCTTACTAGTCTATGATGAACGATGATGTAAAAAATAATTTGAGAACCTTTTGTGGTCAAAATCTCCTAACCCTGCATATAGTTTACCCCTAAGAAGCCAACCTTAGAGCCATTATTACCCATTGATAGATATAACTTAAAATTAGGACACAAGAAAGAATAATTTGTGACTTGTTAACCATTTTGATTGTTTGACTTTGTGCATCATTTTCATTGTCTTAAGTAACATCTTGTATCTGCATCACTTTCATTTTATCAATGAAATTAACCATTTTGTTTGACTTTGTGCATTTGCATTATCATGTCATGCATCATTTTCATTGTCATATATAACATTATACATCTCATCATCTTTATTTCATCCATGAAAAGGTACATTTTATGCATCAACATATCATGCAAGCACAGTATTTTTTTATCATAATTATGGTGCTTAAGGTTTAAAGATAACTCCACCAAGCAACCTCACTCACCAATACAATAAAAAGCTCAAGCCAGACAAATGGAACAAGAAAATTTTAATCATCTCAAGAGGATATAAAAAGTTCAAGAGAAGTTAGAAGGGGAGTTGAATAAGATTTTGGAAGCCTTGAACAAGTTGAATAAATGAAAGGGTATAGAAAAAAGTACGAGCCAATAAGATCCTTGATCACAAGAGGTGGATGACCCACTATATCCTCCTAGTTTTAGGTTATATCAAGCCTAAGCTCAACTCACACAAGGTCTATCACCCCAGCAGTTCACATATTCTGTAAGGTACATATCTTGAAATGCCATTAGTTTCAAATCCATCACAGTGCCGAGCTACATAAATCATGTCTTTACTGAAAAGACAGTAGAACCAGTACCAGTCCCTAATTTGAATAATTTAAAAAAGAAAAAAAAGCTAAGGTCTAAAGAAAAGGAGCCTTTAGAAGCCTCAAAAGTCGAATAGAAGATAAGTTTATTAGAAAAGAGATTAAGGGTTGTAGAAGAGATTAGTTTTTATGGTTCAGTAGATATTGTTGGGCTTTGCTTAATCATAGATGTGGTTATTCCTCCGAAGTTCAAGGTGTCAGAGTTTGAAAAGTATGATGATATAAAGTGTCCAAAGACCCATATTACTATGTACTGTCAAAAAATGACTACCCATGCTCATAATGAAAAACTATTAATGCATGTGTTCCAAGATAACCTTACTGACTTTACTACTAGGTAATATGTCTAGCTAGATAGAACACGCATTCGATCCTGAAGTGATTTAGCGTATGACTTTATCAGTCAATACTGACATATCATAAATTTAGCCCCTGGTCACCTTTTCTTACAAAATATGAAAAAAAGGTAACTGAATCATTCTAATAATACGCTCAGAGTTGGAAAGACATGGTTACTTAGGTGCAACCTTCTTTGACTGAGAAATAAACCACAGTATTGTTTGTCAACACTTTGAAATCTCTCTATTATGAAAAGATGATAGAGAATGCAATAAAAAACTTTGTCGACATGGTGATCTCAGGTGAAATCATTAAGAAAGCCATTAAAAATGGCAAGTTAAAAGGATGAGAAACTAGGAACGCATCCGAGAAGAAAGAGACTGAAACTCAAGCTGTGAGTTTTGACAAACAGTTCAGGGGTTATCAATCTTATCCACCACAGGGTTACTCTTCATACTATCCAGCTGTAAATAATTCTTCATCCTACCCATACCAACCCATACCACAACCATCTTACCCATTAACATACCAACCTATTTTTATCTCTCAAGCTCTCACATATAACCTTAACATTCAACCTCTTGTAAGACTTCAAATTCATCCTATTAGCTCAGTAAGTGGTTCATAAGAGCAACGAATTACTCAAGAAAAACTCGTATTTGATCCAATCCTCATGACTTATACAGAGTTATACTGAGAGCTCTATAACATCCACTTAATTGCCCCCAGTTGTGTGGAACTGCTTA